ATACATATTTGTTCTAGCATCAATGATATGGTTCCAACAGAGCCATTGGTATAAAACTCCTTTGAAGTTCCAACCACTGTCACAGTCAATCCCAGCTCAAATTTGGGTAAAAACAGTGCTATAAACTTGAGACAACCCCAGGAGACAGCAAGGTAGTCCTCAGGCCCCAGGTGTGTCGTCAAGGTAACAGGTGAGGGTTGCCATGGCTACAGGCACTCACCACATGACACAGCAAACCACCTTGGCAGCAGAGAGCCAGACAAGCTCCTTCCCACTCTGCTGCAAAGTGGCCATCTTGGTCATGTTCAGGGCCTATTATCATAACAGTAATGTGTATTCATTCTCAACATGCAATGGACTATTTGACACCAAGCTGGGTACACTTTTGGCTTATTTAGTGTCCTGGAACTAAAGCATGGTGGTTGTACCTGGTCAAAGCCATGTGGAGCCTGAAGTTCCAGATTCAGGGCACAGTGGGCTGGCACAGTGACAGACACCTATGATTTAGCTTCTTGCTGGATTACTGAAAGCCTTCTATTAGTTTACAAAATCTTGAAGCAGCAGTTGCAAACTAGACAATGTGGGCCTCTGTTTCCTCACTTGCAAAAAAATCTTGTCAAAAACATGTGAAAGCTTCAAGAAATTGATGTCAATATGCATTAACTATTTGAGTGTTACGCTGAAGTAAAAAGGTATGGGTTTCTTGTCCTCGATAAACACCGTCCAGACGTGAAGGCATGGCAGGTCAGGAGTTTCCATTCCCGAACACCACACCTAGTAGAATATGGCACCAGGTGGAAATACAGGTTCGGGGCACCATGGCCGATGGGCACCTGGAATTTTAATCCATCTTTCTGGATTTTTATGGTGTCTCCTGTACAAAAAACGTGTGCACAGCCATGACATGGTGTCAGGAGCCAGCATAACTAACGTGTGTGCCGTATGATTAACTGAGCAGCCTTCATAGGTACCTTGTTTTATCATCTGGTAGGAAGGATTGGGTTTCCAAACTGTTTACACCTGTCTACAATTCATTAAATCACACCACAGGAGAAAATCGTGGGAAAATGTCCTCGAAGTTTTTTTTTTCAAACAACACCTTAAAAAGGGATGTCCTGTTAGTTCGTTTCTTATCTCCAAGAAAATGCTCCAAGATGGGGTTTCCTTCTGTCCCAAGGACAGGACTTCCTTCATTTTTATTTCAGAGGTTTCAGAAGGATTCTAGAAAATGTTTCTGCTCTTTTTCGAGGTAAAAAATTGTCTTTTCACCATTCACCTGGCTGAGCATAGAAATTATTAACTTTGTTAAAAGAAACAATAAGATGGTGAATGGGTCTACATAAAAAAAATACCTATCAGAACAGAAATGCACCAGAAATGACAAACTAAAAAGTTATCTTACTTTCCTTGAATTTTCTGTTCATGCAAGGACATATCTGACTAACTGGGAAATAAATTTACCTCTCAAAAAGTGAGTCCTGTCATTTTCCTTAATCCCAGAGGACCCAGAAGGAGTAGCACATTGCTTACTGCCAACACACTTGACACATACACACACATTGGGAAAGTGGTTGAAGAATTTATGTATATTTGACATGTGTTTTATTTTCTTAACATAGCTATTTTACCAAATTGGCAAAAATTGGCAAATAAATATACAATTATCTTTGGTTTTTCTTAACTCCCCCCTCCCAAAAAGAACATATGAATACATGTGACCAATCCTCTCAGAGAAAACTAAGAACTGACCGTTTATATGACATGTCTGATTGCTATTCAATTCATTAGTTCTCTATGTAGTCCCTCTATATGCTACCAATTTGAATGCCTCAATTCAGAAAATAACAATATTAACTCACTAGATTCCCCCAGTACTTACTAAAATTTTGGTCTACCAGCAAGCCACCAAGGCTTTTTGCTTTGATTGTATAAATCTACAGCAGCAAAGTGGTCCTATGTAGATTAAATGCCCCATCTGAACACTGGCAAACACAATGACCCTTGCCTCTTCAGAGATATATTTCTTTTTGCATATCTAGCACAGCACATTATTAATTTTTCTCACTAGTTCAAGGTTCCTATAATTTTTTTCATTTTCCCTAAAAGTAATGAAATTTTTTAATGTATTTTGGTAATTTTAGTGAGGTGCGAGCATAATCTACCAACATTGTGAAATGGAATATTCATTCACTGTGAAAAGCATAATTCCTCACCACATATCCCTGGGACACTCCCACTTTTCATGAATATCCATATCATAGGACCTAGGATAAACCCTTTGGACCATGCAGATGGATAGAGCTCACACCCCCATATCTTTACATACTTCTGACTAAATCATCTTATATTGGGTCCCTGGTGATGTATAATCTGCTCTGTGATAGGTCTACACTGCAAACCATCAGATCGATGATGATTAACTTGTATTGACTGGGATGCCTTCCATCATTCATATAGTTTACATCTTCTACAAAGCTGATACAATTATAATCTGGTAAGAAATGGGGGAACTTGGCAGTAAAGAGAAGTTTGAATAGATTGTAATGTGTCAAGTGATAATCATTTACAAAAAAAAAAAAAAAAAA